CGTAGACTATGATGTATAATCGAGATTTCATGATTAAGCAACGGCCATTCAACTACATTCGAGAGGCAATTCAAAAAAAATACCAAACAAATAAAATAATTGTGCTCAACTAACCGGGTGTTGATAAAAACTCGTAAGACTCGGCTGAGGAGTGAGTGATTCATTGTGCTGATGGATCATTGGGGTTTGCGTAGAGACTGACGTTGGAACCATAGTTTCCGATGAGGACTGAATTTGAACCGTCGTTAACGGCTGATGAGAAGGAAGTGCAATCGCAGTACCAGGGACAGCACTAGCCACAACAGCAGATGGGAAAAGTGAATTCGGACCACTAAGAGCAGCAACTGCGTGTGGTGCTTGTTGACTGTTGGAGGCGGTCGGGGAAGAAACATAGACGCCACCTAGTGGTGGAGTGTTTGTTTGTTGTTGTTGTGCAGCTACAACCGCCACCGTACCCGAGGTGCGATAAACAGGAGCCGACAGTGTCTGTGGAGCTGACTGCACCAGTTGAGATTTATTGTGCGCCTCAATGATTTTAGTCGCAGACTCCGCCATGCGAGCAACGGCGGAAACACGTTTGCTGGAATGGCGCAGTCGAGCATTTTGCTGCAGTAGGATTTCATTGGCAGCCCGTAAGTCACCACGTTGTCGCATTAAGTCTGACAGTTTTCTACGAAGGCGAGCATTTTCCGCTTTGAGTGCATGTTGCTGGCGCATCGACGCAGTTGGGAAACCTGTCCTAGTAAAGGAACCGGGTGAACAACGAGCACTACATCTTGCTGTCAAAGGTTTATTGGACTGTGTCCTGGAAGATTTTGTCGAATGCTCCGCATCAGCCATGTCAAACAGGTCATCGTCGTAGTATTCTGTATCCATATCATCGACATCGTCATGACCACTGTAATCCTCTGTTAGCACAGAGTCTGGTGAAGCTGTCAACTGTGGGCGCACTTCTGCTCGCAAACGCATAGATTTCTTTAGTACCGATGAATTACGGAATTTCAAATTTGCCTTCCCACGATAGATCCTCGAGAGGTTATCTTGATTCCCTGTAAGAACAGGCACATGTGCAACACGTCTTAATCTGCGTATTCTCCTCGAAGAAACAGATCGATTCGAAAAATCGAGTTCATTCACAGTATCGGAGAACTCTCGGTTTCGATCGCTATCCAAGTGCTCAACCATTGAGCCGGACGAAGCTGAAGCCTCCGATGGAACCTCGTCAACCCCTCGACGGCGGCGACAAGAGCCGGAATTGATAGCCTCTTGTGACCAGTAAAACTGGTGTGATGCACCAGTATTATTGAGAGCTGGGTAGGAAGAAGAACGACGCACACGAACAGAAGCAGAGTCTGTGTCAGTTGATGGTCTAGAATCCACAGAACAAGCTCGACGGGGACGAACTGCAACGATGGGATTCTGGGTTTTGGAAAGAACAACCGATGCACGATCCGTACGCAATCCAGATGTATCGTCAAACACACGGCGTGAGGAACCATCCAGGGAATAAAGCGACGCGGACTGCTGCAGTGGCTGTTCGGCCCTCAGTTTCGTTTCATCAGCCTTCCGATCGAACCGCTGAGAAGCGCTGTCTGAAGTGCCTGAACTTCCCAGTAAGCGGCGAGCTGCTCGATAAGTTCGGGGCTCAAATAAAGCGTCTGATGGGCTAGTCTCACAAGACGGTGGTCTGGAGTCATCAATATGTGGCATGTAAGATACATCTACGTGATCTGCATGCTTTGAAAACTTAAGCGGCATACTATACGGTGGTGTGACTTCCGGAGAGGCCTGAAGAGAAGCTGCTGACTCGATGTCATCAAAAGCATCCCCATCTTCGTCGTCGTCGTCTTCCACTAAAGCCTGCGGAAGAGGAGCATTGCGTCTCTTGGGTGGATACTCGTAACGTTTGCTGGCAGTTGGTCGCATCTGAGCTCGACGCTTGACAGATGCGTAACGACCAGCACTATCATAAACCGAATATGCCGATTCTTCGTTAAAACCGATTTCATGCTTGGACATATCGGGTCGAGACTGGTTACTGCAAGTCAGCCCCACAGCAGACTGGTAAGAAGGAATTTGCATCTGGAGATGGTAAAAATAAGATGGAAGAAAGCAAGCTAAGATAAACAACCAACCGAACAAGTTCATTGAAACAAAACCTAATCTCCATAAACACTGGGAGACCGTGGCACCAGAATGGTCAAAAAGATAACCGAAAATTCTGAGTCAAAAATGTATATATATATATATATATATGTGTGTGTGTGTGTGTGTGTGTGTGTGTTGACCAACTCGAGCAACATCATTCTAATATCGGAAATACCTTTCAGTCTCCTATATCATACTCGTATATATATGGCAACGGGTGAAGTGTACTTGTTTCTCCCACATCTATGTTCTTAGTTCTCTCCTAGCACAGTTTGAACTTCCGTGACTTCCGTGTTGCGATACAATTTGTAGTAGTTCGAAAGTTCCAGCCGAGATTTCGGAAACACTTCACCCAAAGCATTATACTTTTTAATAAGTGATTCCTGTTCCATGCAGACGACATTATGCTACTTAGTGGAGATCCAGGTAATTTGCAAGCCTTTCTGGACAGTTTGAGTGCTAGTGTAGCCATGTTCGGCATGCGTTCTGTACCTTCAAAGTGTAAAATGTTATTACAAGATTGGGTTGATCCAGTCCCCAACCTCACCCTGACCGGAGAATTTGTAGAGAAAGTAGACAAGTTTTGCTATCTGGGCAGCGATAGCTCATCTGGCGGACGCATCACAGATGAAGTGTCGGCACGCATACAAAAGGCTCAGTTGGCATTTGTCAACTTGACACATTTGTGGCGCCGTCGCGACATCCGGCTGTTTGTGAAGGGTCGAGTATATGCTGCAGCAGTTCGGCCAATCCTGCTCTACGGTGCAGAGAATTGACCACTACGGGAACAGGATCAAAATAGCTTGTCGGTGTTAGAACATCGCTGTCTACGTCACATTGCATGAGTCTGGTGGGGTAACCAGAAGAGCAATGCTGAAGTTAGGTGCAAAGTTTTAGGCCTTCGCGGTCATCCACTGGGGCAAGTGATCGACCTCCATAGATTACGTTGGTTGGGGCATGTGTTACGCATGTCACCAGATAAGTTGCAACGGCGAACGATGTTTGCCAAGTCAGGTAGCGGTTGGAAAAAGGTCAAGGGTGGTCAAACGAAGACCTGGCATGAGGGTATGAAAACCCCTAACCAAGAGACCGGCTCACATAGGTCCCGTTAGGCTATCTGGCTGGGGACCCCGAGATGATGGCACTGATGGTTAGAGATACTGAGCGAACAGTGGCGCTCGTGCATCCACTCATTATTCTCCTCACACCACTCTATATGAATTCTCAATCTTGCGCTTGAATTTGCTCTCATTATTTCAATCTTCATCCTGCTCTGTTATCCCAATTGGGCGGCCAAAAGACAGCAACTAAAAGCGGTGCGCCAAAGTGCATGGTTAATGGTTGTAAAAACTGCAACTTATTAAGTTCTGAAACGTGTTCTAAATTGCTCATTTGTTCTCATTCAGTGCACAGTAAATGAGCAAATTATGAAAATATTCTAGCTTAAATAAATTGACAAATTATTTGGCTATAAATTACTCACGAGTTATCCACAGTATTGAAAGGACTGAAAACATAGTTCAAGAAAAATAAAAGCTGATCTTCGAAAGTTGACCTTGAGGTGCGCGCCTCGTTGAATAAGCATCTTGTATAGTCCCATACACATACCGTGTGAAAAATTCAAAAGGTTTTGGCATATAGTTGAAGCCTAGAAGCAACTTAATCCACAGATACATAAATCCGAAGACTCAGTTGGTGTCTTGTGGAAGTGCTTCGATGTCAACATAAATCCAATTTGTTGCCTATTCAACGAAATTTCTTCATCAAAGAATAAACCGAGAGGGAGAAAACCGATCATATCAAAGCAAGACGATGGTTGTGTTTGATCACAGCAGAAAACCAATCTGGAGGATATTCTGGGCTGATCAACCGTTTTTCCCTCACGTCTTCGTTTGGAAAATGACTCAATTTAAAATGCAGCTAATGCCACGTGATATGAAGTCGTTAAGGAACGCCCAACAAAACAGAGCATGCATTGATTTTACCAACAAATTCAAATCGCTTCGCCCGTTCATTTGGCAATGGGTTTATCGCAACGGTGTCCAAAGAGTGAATCAACATGCGGTGAAAGCTGATCTATTAGGCTAGTTTTCCGATGAATTTTGTTTTACCTGTCAGAAGTAAATATTAATCCCGCCTGACGAGGTAGAACGGAATTAAATACCGAGTGCCTTGTTATTGGTCTCATGCACACACCAATCTGGATATAGCAAAATGTTTTGCACTGATAAGGGAGGTTTTCGATAACTGCTACTACAGAAGTCATATTCTCACAGATGAAGGTGGGTATATCTTCTCGCTTGTGGTTTGTACCAGAAAACCGTGAGATCTAATTAAATATTATCATTTCACATTTATACAGAGTCTGGAGGAGTTGAGTTCAATGTCAAATTTGTTCAATTACGGCGCCGCAACTGGGATTTTTAGTGAATCGAAAACTTTTCTCTGTATCAGAGGGGATAAATTAGCTACCTCGACATTGGTCGTTAGTGGTAAGGGTGTGCGTTGTATTAGAAGAAACTTGCAAATTCTGTTTGGCAGTCAACTTGGTGGACTCCATGCTAAGGCGACTGCCTACGGTGTTCAAAAATGAAGAAGGGCAAATGGAACACGGAAGAGATGAAAGTACAACACCTTTATGAAGTCTATGAGTCATTTTAATAAATAAATTCCAGTTACGTTTTCTACTGCGACTTCGTTATTTTACAACTGATGCACCAGCAACCATCGTCAAAATCGGCATGTGGCTAATAGAGGCAAATACTTAAGTGGGTATTATATCAGATATGTTGCCCTTGATGCGGGGTAATGTCATGTTCAATCCCATGAATGAGGCTGGTGG